CTTCACCTTGATGTCCCTTTAAGACAGACTCCAAAATACTTAACCGCGGTTTCCCTTTAAGACAGACTCCAAAATACTTAACCGTGATGTCCCTTTGAGACAGACCCCAAAATACTCAACCGTGATGTCCCTTGAAGACAGATTCTAAAATCCAAAATACTTCACCGCGGTTTCCCTTTAAGATAGATTGCAAAATACTTCACCGCGGTTTCCCTTTAAGACAGACTCCAAAATACTTAACCGTGATGTCCCTTTGAGACAGACCCCAAAATACTCAACCGTGATGTCCCTTTAAGACAGATTCTAAAATCCAAAATACTTCACCGCGGTTTCCCTTTAAGATAGGTTGCAAAATACTTCACCACGGTTTCCCTTTAAGACAGACTCCAAAATACTTCACCTTAATGTCCCTTTAAGACAGACTCCAAAATACTTCACCGCGGTTTCCCTTTAAGACAGACTCCAAAATACTTCACCGCGGTTTCCCTTTAAGACAGACTCCAAAATACTTAACCGTGATATCCCTTTGAGACAGACCCAAAAATACTTAACCGTGATGTCCCTTTAAGACAGATTCTAAAATCCAAAATATTTTTCACCGCGGTTTCCCTTTAAGACAGACTCCAAAATACTTCACCGCGGTTTCCCTTTAAGACAGACTCCAAAATACTTAACCGTGATGTCCCTTTGAGACAGACCCAAAAATACTTAACCGTGATGTCCCTTTAAGACAGATTCTAAAATCCAAAATACTTCACCGCGGTTTCCCTTTAAGACAGACTCCAAAATACTTCACCGTGGTGTCCCTTTAAGACAGACTCCAAAATACTTCACCGCGGTTTCCCTTTAAGACAGACTCCAAAATACTTAACCGTGATGTCCCTTTGAGACAGACCCCAAAATACTTAACCGTGATGTCCCTTTAAGACAGATTCTAAAATCCAAAATACTTCACCGCGGTTTCCCTTTAAGACAGATTGCAAAATACTTCACCGCGGTTTCCCTTTAAGACAGACTCCAAAATACTAACCGTGATGTCCCTTTAAGGCAGACTCCAAAATACTTAACCGTGATGTCCCTTTGAGACAGACCCCAAAATACTTAACCGTGATGTCCCTTTGAGACAGATTCCAAACTCCAAAATACTTCACCGCGGTTTCCTTTAAGACAAACTCCAAAATACTTCACCGTAAGGTCCCTTTAAGACAGACTCCAAAATACTTCACCGTAAGGTACATTTAAGACAGATTCCAAAATACTTCCAATTGCAATTATACAATCAGAATAAATTAACGTCCAAGGTTACGGTAAGATATTTTTAGCTTTATTTCTGTTTCGAATTTGACTAGAAAATTGGGTTGGAGTAAATTCTACTGATCACCCGTTGGCCTATTTACATCAACAAAATCACCCACGCACGCATTCACAGCTATTTTATCACGTAACACGCAAAGCGTTGTCTTAATGCAGATTAATTCACTTCAAATACTGTGTTCATAACGAGTGACAGAGTAAAAGATACATTTATGGTGTTTCAAATTTCGAACGCCGTACATATCACAGCGAAAAAACGTATATTTAAACTGCGTGTAATGTCGTTTTTATTTACAATTTGATGCAGTAGTGCTGCACCCACACAAATAGCTATATATCCATATCAGAAATGTCGTCAGGCGCTGTTCCTCACACTGAATAGTTCAAAGCTGTCAATATCGTAAATGAGATATTCTGGTTGTCTCTGGTGTTTTTCAAACTGTGCTACAAATATTTTTGTGTTTGTGATGCGATGACGTCACTTGTTACGAATTTAACTAATTGACCACACTCCCTTCAAATTCCCGCTTTATGTTCAGTTTTACATATCCCTTGTCCAGGTGAAAGGCTTTACATTTTAATCATTGTTTGTCGTGTGGATTTAGAAATCCGCCCGTCACGAAAATGTCGTAGCATCCATAGTTTAATTTAACAACTATCGTAATCTTTAGTAACACATCGAAAATTCAATATTTACGATTTGCTTTGAAAACGTAGCTATTTTGTCACTTGTATATATATATATATATATATATATATATGTTCTTCTCTGTACAAATATTTCAGATATTGTAATATCATTTTGTGGTATGCTAACACAGAAGTGAAAATACCGTTGCTGCTAAGTATGTACATCTGGATCACATCATTTCAATTTCTGTATAAAATGGCGATGGTATATTTCGCAGAAAGACTTTCATATAACAATTTACGACATAAATGCGTTGCTATTCAATGAATATACCCATGTCTCCTTTTTGCTTATTAGATAATCAAATGACGTCATAGATTCAAAGACGGCTTTGTCACGTGACAATGAAAACCATAGATATAGAGCGGACATGATTTCGAGTTTTTAAAAATAAATGCCTGGAAAACGCATCCTGTGATAAAAAGATTTCATTTGCTTTTATTCGATATGTGATTTATGAAACTCGTCACGAATTTTTCATTTTATCTTACCAATGACTCCATAAAATGATAAAAAAAATCTTTTTCATAAATTCACGAGTCAAATGGAAACTCGTGCAAGGTCCTATATCTGTCTACTCTAATAAATCGGACGAACACGATCTTTTGATTATATTTTTTATCATGGCCTATTTTCAAAACAGAAACAATTCTGAAGAAATGTTGCCGATTAATTCTATCAGCCCGGCTAAGTAGGAGCATTTTAAGTCTCTTTTGTTATCCCATTGACTATATATACACTTTTCATACCTTTGTTGAAGATCATTTAATACACATGCGACCAATTAATCAAGATATGACACTTCTTCATTTTAAAGTATGGAAATGCCTTTTGGTGCAAAACATTATTTCAATGTTTGGAAATCTGAAAATTTTAATTTAATCCTGTTTAGTTTAATCTATTTGATGAATTGATAGTTGCATTTAGTCCAGGGGAGACAATTGTGTATCATTAATTTAACATCATTTAGATGTTTAGGAAAGCGAAAAATGTCATTCAAATTGTAAATGAAATCAATATATGCTGAACAGATATTCAGACTCAGTCAAAGGGAGACAATCGTGTCTCAAAAAGTTTTATAGGGGCGATAAAAAAGTCAAGTAATTTCAGGATATAGTGCATGACAACTCTTTATATCCTTTAATCAGGTTTAATATGTTTATGTATTTATATGTGAATAACAAGCTTTTTATGAAGATTTCTCTTGGCTAATTTATGTTTAAATGCTAAATTTTGCCATGTACGGTTTAATTTCGAAAGAAATATGGTATGTGAGTAACCATAACAACGAAAACAAGGCCGAGTGTTTATTGTGAAAACGTTATAATATGCTATCAAATCTACTGTTAGGTTGTTATATACATATTCATGTTATTGAATCACCAGCAGAATTTTTTTCCTGTGTATACATTTTTTGAAAATTGTAGTGAAATCCTGGTGATTTTGTCTTCCTTGGTTGGAACTGACGTGACATGATACAGCTCTGTTCTAACTGTGAACCGATACAGACGACTGTACTACCTGTTGGTCAGCAGATGCGAGCTACCCTAGAGCGTTCAGTGTGTTATACACACTGAATTTTTCTACAAAATCAACGATTTAATACATCTGAAAAATACAGCTATGAAAATACATTACTAGAACAATAACCAATTAATAAACCTACACATTGTTGAAAATTTAGTTACACGTTAGCACCTTTATAAATCTTCATAAACACATTTCAATTTGGTTGTAAAAGTATATTTGACGCCATAAGATGATTGACAGCTCATGCTATTTACATTTGACCAAAACAACTTACTTTCATTTGCTGATATGTTTACTTGAATTTAGATGAAAGGTGTGTCTCTGGATACTGTTATTTGGTGGTTCATTTTTATTTATCTGGTTCCCAATTTGAGAACGTGACATTACTAGCTTGAATTGACAAAGATTTCTATCGCGAGTGATAAAGCAGAAGATATCTGCCCTTCCGATTTTATATTCTTAGTACCTTTTTTAATGTCTTGGTGTCAATGTCTTTTTTGTTACCAATCGCCTTAGTTTTGAATTTGAATTTAAATTTTAAGTTCTGTTTACCTGTCAGTATTTCGTTTCTGGTGTCTGTAAGATGTAGCTCCTATGCTTCACGTAAAAAGTATCTAATCCGTAATCAATACCATATATTGATGAAAATTCTGAATAAAAAGAAAATTAATAAAAAAAGAAGTATCTAATCCGTTCATTAAAGCTGTGGTTAATATCTATAACAATACTACGTGGTACAAACTTCGGCACATTTAAACATCATGACCAGTACAGATTTATAAATAGATGCAATCATTGAGATATTCTACACAAGCGATGTTAATATATGTGAAGATAATGATTTATTTATATCTCATTAATAGGAAAACAAATATGTCTTAAAAATGAGTGTCGATTATTTTTTTCTGACCAACGTGAATTGAGACATATTTTTGTTTTTTTCTAGATCCCCCGGTAAAACATGTCATCATGATAATATGGACAGTCCAGATATGAACAAACCGAAGCTCGTTTCCATGCGAGGAGAGATTTTATTACAAGTCAACACGTAAGGGAATGAGTGAATAGTAAAATTTTGTTTTAGGCTTCAATTTGGTGACCTGTGAATTGCTGCTTGAATATAACATAGACTATTACATGTAATATCGTAAAACACAAATGCCGATACATATATTAAATACTTGTTGTTTACTTATATGAATAGGAGACTCTATCAATGATACAGAGCTATATATAACATGACACGTACAAACAGAGGTCTGAATCATGAATAAACATTGCGAACCAAGCTGAGGTGAAATATCGATTATACAAGGTGAAATGCTATGTCTGTTTGATATATATAAGATGTATATGCACATCTTTTTTTCTAAATTTAAATCCGATTTATGACTTCTCGCATGTGATAGTGTATGTATTGCAAAGCTCATTCATGATGATACATTAATTAAGTTAGTAGTGTTTATTAAGAACAGACAGGTGCGCTTTCAAATAATGTCATAACATTGACCAGGACATAACTTATGATAGCACCGATAAGTGATCCTATCTGCGTTACGGCTCCACACCACATCAAGGCGGTCTTGCCTTCCTGTCTGAGGACTGAGGCAATCGACACTTTTGAGAACGTCATCAGGGATCCCATAACCACCCATGCCGATATCTGAAGAGAAATTGTATTAACAATATTTTATAAATTACCTGTCCGAAATAGTCCACTAATTAATTATTAGGTTAAGAGAGATTATCATGAAATAGAGACGAAAGAGACCAAATCACTAGACAATTCATAATCTTTTGTAATCAAATTAAACAATCCGTCTTGTTACACAAGCATCATTTGTAGACCATTGAACCATTAACAATACATACCATGAGTGGTGGACCGACAGGTTCATCATACATCCATGGTGTTGGACTTTGACTAGCCATCAGTATGATGTAAACTGATATGCCTGTTCCCATGGTAACGAAGGATGCGATAAGAATTGTAGATGTAACCGGAAGAAGAAGGGCCATGAAACATACTACAGGATTAGCAATTTTAGAGAGCGTCACTGTCAGGTGGTAGGCATCGTTTCCGTATGGTAAACAGGAATAAGACTGAATTCCAGATAGAATACCATTAGTGAGACTATTAATTACGGTGATGAGAGATAGATAGAATGCAATTTGTGCAGGACTTATATTATTTGACCGCTTCTTTACGGATGATTCTGCTTTGTTGTTGAATTCATAAAGTTCCGTTCCAGTGCAAGCTTTTTGTGTCAAATGTTCCTTTTTACAATAAGGGAGATAATTCAGCAGTGTGAACGCCAGCCCGCATACCAACATCATTCCACACAAAAAGAAACAGAAATACTCCACGGGAAATGATACATCTTGATAGATAGATTGTACATGATAACTGGAAATGTTTGTCGTTTCGTTTACAATAGATAGATTCTGACAGCTCACTTTGCCAACTCCTTGTCCGAGGGCTACTAAACTTGGCAATAGGCCACTGAGTCCTTCTCCGATATACAAAGCCGTCATGTAGTTAACATGAAATAATGCCATATACGGTAGAAATAGCACAGATGAAGTACAATCAACGACTGAAAGAGAAAAGTCTAGAGCAAATAAAGCAACACTGTGCTCTTCACCAAATACATAAGCTGTAGTATCCCAGAAAAAAGCTAACAGCACACAAGCTAGAGTCCCTATTAAAAGAATGCTGTATATTAAGATTTTTTCATTGACCTTGTTCTTGCAGCACAAGTATCCCAAAGTGACAAGGAGTGGACCAATGTTTGCCAGTTGGATTATCACTGTCAAGTACGACGGTAGTTTCCACCTTTCTGGTAAGTTTGGAACCATTATTGGTAATTCGACCCACAAACCATTGACCGCTACCCATGATCCCATACCGAACAATATCACAATGATGTACACGATAACATTGACCTTGCTGTCGCTGCAACAAGTAATTTTGACCATTTTGAAAGTCGTCTTCTTCGTCTGAAAACATAGAATAGTGCTATGAGTCACTAAGGTTCTAATAATGATTGAAGAATTGTTTTTTTATCTGTTTTTCTCACTTTCCTAGTATCTTTCAATTATCATTTCAAATTGGCAAAAACGGCTCTTTTCATTACATATTTAATTGCTGCTATTAGGTTTTATCCCCATTTATAATTCAGCTGGTTGATGTGGATTTGCTTTACGATACAGTTTACTGGAAAACACTTTCTTACAAATACGTTTCTTCATAAAATGGATTTAAGAGATTCATGTTAATGAAAGTTATAGCGAAGATTTATGGTCGATCTCATTATGAAATGTTCTGTTTATTTATGTGATATTAAGCAGGAAGTATTTGATGCTCGTTGGTTTGACAGTTGGTTCCGGTGATATATACCTTGTTCTCCTTTGAGAACGTGACATTACATGACCACGATTTACATGGCGGAAGTCGTCGATGAAGCAGAAGACGCTTACTTGGCAAAACAACTTATTTTTACTGATAACTACGATAATAAAGGAACAGTGAGGATTTATTTTCTTACGTGCTTTATACTCGAGGAGAGTAAAGATACTAAAATTTATCTTCATGTTCTCCCCATCGCAAGACCATTTCTGTAATGTCTGATTCTTTTCCGTTTGTGTTTGACCAAAACACTCATGCATATATAACTCTGGCCGGACGTTAAACTATGAACACAGTTACACAAGGTATACAACTTCTCAGAATTACTCAATGGAATCACTGTTAAATCAGATTAACTTACCGTTGATGGAGGATCTTACAATTCAGCAACAAATTAACGAGTTCATCCAATCTTATTCATATTATACATTCCTGTATCAGTCCCATTAAATTGTGTATATCCGGTTATCAGCGTTACTGTATATACCACAGTGTGTATAGTTGTCAATAGTTTTGCCCAGTGTTGTAGGTATGTGTCTGGGTTCACCGATTTATCACTGTTTAGATAACACGATTAAGATAAACTTTATGCAACTTAACTTGAACGGGATGTTATTAAATGACATGCCTGCTGAGAGAATTGATACTTCCGCTTAAGATTTACATCTGTAGTAACGAGAGAGAAAAACTGATCATTTTCTGATTTCCGATCTGGTGGGTATGTACGATGGGTATAGCCAACAAATTTCGTTAAAGACAAGATATCATCAACATCTTAAAGTAAAATGAAAGGATGTTTATGTCTTGTTTTGATCAGCTATTCGATGAATTCAATCTCATATAAAAACAAAAACAAGTCAGGTAAGAGAAAGCATAATTTAGTCCCATAGTCTGTTGGAAGATCTTACCATTAAACTCGTTGAAGCTTTTTTTCCACCAGAAATTGGATAATTTTATATGATGTCGTCCTTCATTAATTTCATCTTCAATATTTTTCACTTATTTTTGAATCGCTTTTTATCTTTCCCAGAAAAGAAAGCTCTCATAAAATAAAAAGGTTTGAAATATGTTATGGTTTAATAGCAGATGGGTATTGGAGATTGGTCTCAAGCTGATTAAAATCTATAAACCGTTAATTCCACTTCTTCAGTAAAGAGCATTACATTAAGACTGAAACCTGATTTTGAAATACACAGATTAAAAGTTTAACTTGATGGAATGAAAGTAAGAAATCTGATAAAGGTTTGGTTGAACAACTTCGTGAACCCACAAAAACATTGTTTTAATGGTGTGGAAAAGTTAACAATTCAAATATAAACGAAGGGGGTCCGTATCCTTACAAACATGAACGTCCTACAAAGTAAATATATGCCAGTGCAGACTTAGCAATGTACAGAGAAACAACCGCGTCGTAATGTAGATATCTATCAATTGTAAATGGTAAGATTTATTTTAAATTTCGTGATGCTGTATTTAAACCTTTAGTGAAGAAAACAATAGATTATTAGCTTTAGTTTATAAAATTCATAATTTAACAAAATGATATAGATATCATACCATGGCCATTGATTATGACGTACACACACACACAAGCTAATATTTTCTTTATTTTGTTGGTATAACCACGTATTGAATTACAGCAAAAATAATATATATTGTTCTTTTATTTGTCTTTATGCAATAATAGACAACATGTTAGAAAATATAAGTCCATAATGTTCCATTTTTTATCAAATATTTCTCATCGTCATTTTCATCAAACAATTACACGATTAATAATGTTACAAGGACATCGGCGATACATCGAGAGTGTCGTTGAAATCAAACACTAAAAGGAAAATGTTGACTGTGATTTGACGGTTGTAAGCGATATGAAAACAATGTGCAGTTATTATTTTATATACGATGGATATTATTGAGAAGTTTTTTGTTTTTCTGCGTAGAAAAACATCCAAGCGTTACCACTTTTAAGTTTATTGACCACTTTTCTCCTCACAGTTAGTGTGTCTAAACATTCAGCATTTGACCGCTCCTGCAACAGATGTAAAATATTTGATTTGTATTTGCCTGAATTTCCCGAAATATCATTCAGATATGGACGTCATAACAATTTTAGCTGTGAACCATTGTATGTGTATGACTATCTTATGTAACGTACGTGTAAAAGTGACTAAAGGCGCGAGAACCACTATTGGAGTAAGGAATTGATAGATGGCATCGTTTGAAATTCCATGACGTCAATTCAAAATGACAATAACATTTTTTATGAACCACTATCAAAAAAACTTCATGGTCATAAAATTGGTGTTAAAACGGGCCAGAAGTACAAACACAAAGTGTTAATTTATAAGGTGCTTATCCTGCTCTTCTATACAGCATATGACCAGGAAAGTGATTTGCTTACCTTCACAAGAAGTAATTCACTTTCAAGAGCCCGTAAGATGTCATCAGTTTTATCTACTGCTGTTACCTTGACAAATCCCACCTCTTTAATCATATCAAGAATTGCCCCTGTTGAAAGCACCTGTAACGTACGTTTACAAATTAAAAACTACATCTGATAGCTTATTCACCTCATGATGTTAACAATTTCAGTTTCTTTTCAAACTCTGCAGTTAATTAAATATTTAATTATTTTGATGAAATATACGCGAAAGTAAACGCGAGTCCGTCTCGAATCCAAGATAGTTATGATATTAACCAGTTTAGACTACCTTTTTATCATAATCAGGTATCAGAAAAATAAGACAAAACAAAAAACACACCAACATAATCGTAATCCTCTCTCAAATTCAATAATACTGGTGCAAAATAATAACAAATGAAATATGTACACGGAGAACCAGTTAAATAAGAGCAGGTGTTGCTTAACGTTAAGCGTCTTCTGCTTCATCCATACTGATGATATCATTTGAAAGTTGTGAATACATTTTATCGATAAACCTACCTTCCTCGGGACATTGCTATTGTGATCAAGTTCCTCGTCAAAGACATCTGTTTCTATATCTATGTCTTCGATTTCCTCGTCAATACAGTATTCTGACATCAATAGCCTACCTCCTGGTTTCATGGCGTCCTGGAGCAAAGAAAACATATCTGGTACACCTTTCAGTAGTATACATAACACTTTGATTTCAAGAAAAGAACACTGCTATTAAATGGCTACGTTCTTTTATCGATTATATAAGGTGATGAATTATACAAGTAATTTTATAATACGAAATGATGTTCTACTCAATTAAGTTTTTGCTCTTTATTTAACCAACAAGCCAAACATGTATCTATCCAAACGTTTCCTTCTAAAAATGGTCGAACTGATTCCATATCTGCGTGTGCGACCTTTCGATATTTTTTGTATGAGTATTTACTTCGGGATTTTTTCTGTTGTTTGGAAAGGGTATATGATTTTACCCACGGCCTTCCAGTCGCGTCTCGTACTGAATCAATGTTACATCTTGAGACCTCCCTCAACAAATTTTTATTTTTACTCCATAGAATCAGAACATGAGGATTTACTCCTGATCCGATCCTTTATAGTATCGAAGAGAGCATTCATGCCTCAAAGACATTTTCTTGATCCGGATGACTTTGCTTTGTTTACCAAATTGTTGAATCATAATAGGATAAGATGAAACCTACGTAAGAACTCATTGGAGTAATTCAATTCAAAATTGCTTTAAATAGGTCCATATTAGCAAATGAAACATGAAATGACCAAGACCAAGAGTTGATCTAAAGCACAACTACACATTTCAAACTTACATGTAATCTCCGTAACAAAGACAATTTATCCGTAATATTTCCGATGGCGTCACGGCTGTATATGCCGTCAAACGATTCTGGATTATGTATTCGCCTTTCAATTGACGCGACCTCAAATTTTATCTGGGAGAAAAAAACATGATATTATTTGTCGATAAAAAACTACATATATATCCTATGTTGATTTTGATATCTCACATGTTAATTTATTTACAATTTTGAAGTCTTTAACACATTACTATTACGACATTTTGTATATTTCTGAAATCTACTGATAGAAATTAATCTGCCTTAGGTGTAAATCAATGTCAACTTGCATTACACTACCACTCAACAAAACACCCAGACACAGACACGTAAGCAATTAAGGATGACTTATATCACCAAATAAGTCCCGTTAACTGGTAGTACATATGTAACTTATACATTTACATAAGCTCATGTATCCTTCTGCTTTGCAATCTTCCAATCCTCACGAATTCAAGATCTACACCACTAAATCGCATAGTCAGAAACAGTAGATTTACAATGTTGCGACATAACTCTTCAAAGCAAGAAATCGAATGTATGATTTTAACTCACTCACCTAATCGATGTTGTGCTTGAAATTCCATTTATCATCAAACCATCAAATGTTAACATTACATTGTCGTAATTTGTCGATATTGTTTCACAAGTCTTACACGAAGGTACATATACACGAACCTGTGTCACACCCTCCTCCTTTGCCCGTTCGCGACCGATCTGTACTGAAGTTGAAGACGGGTCGCTAGCGACAACATTTACACCATACGTCTGGTTTGGTAAAAGGGTAAAATGAATATATCTGACTTTAGCCAAACTTCTTACCAAATAATTTTGGCAAAATCTTACTCAAATGCAACACAAAAATCTTAGTTTAAGAAAAAAAATGATATGTATTCTTTCTATTTATTCAGATTTTAGAGATATAAGTATGCATTCAAACTTTGAAGCTTGAAAAGAAATCGACAATGATTAATATAGCGTATAACTGACATATAGCTCAACGTATTGAAATATTCTCAAGTATATTTAAACTTTGCTGATTTGTACCGTTATGCCGAGCTGTCTTGATGTATCGCAGTAGTCCGCATTATGTTACATAATGAACACATATGTGCTAGATATTACTGTTTCTATATTTGTTTCACATTATATTCCGAATGGTTTTGACATGGTACTGGATAATAAGATAAAATAAATATCTGGATTGTAATTATTTGCTGTTAACATACAGAATGTAGTATCAGCTCACCTTTGCGATATGTATACTGAAACCTCCGATTCCACAACTGAAATCCAGCACCTTTTGACTTGCACGAAGTTTGAGCATTTCAGCTGTCATCTGTAAAACATTTATATCTATACCATTTCTAATCCAATAAGATGCTGTTCATGTAATGACGCCGATATATTCGAAATTGGAAAAAACGAAAAGAATAAGCAAATAAGAACTAAACTTAACTATGGATAGCGAGAGGAAGTTCAAGGGAAATGATTGGTGCTTATATTGAAGGATATTACACGGAAATGTAATGTTACACACTAAGATCTAAGAGAGAGATAAATACACCGTGCAACGTAACAATTTAAAAGTACAATTGTACAAGTGTTGCTTATATACTGTAATACTGTCATATATCTTCATATCGTTGTCAAAATGAAAACCATCAAAATAAACAAAAATTGAGAAACAAAATCGAACCTTAGCAATATGAAGTCCTCCAGTTCTTATAAAACCTCTGCCGACCAATTCCTCCCGACGTAGAATGTGAGAAGTTTCTAACTGTCTTTGTTCCTTCAGTTCAGGGAGAGGAGCAAAATTCTTCGCCGTGTCATATCCTCGCCTCACCTTCTGTATCAGCCATACGAGCTGATTCTCATTGTTTTTCATCTGCAAGGCCAATGAATTGTACAGAAATAATAATCATATTTCTTCCTTGAAGAAACATTTATTGCTGAACACTTATATCTATGTAACAATCATTTAGAAAATTCATGTGTTACAACACTTTTATCTTCATCAGACACGTATTGTATAGAGTTACACAGTATAGGAGATTATAATGAAATAGCACAATTACTTCACTGTATCTTATGTACATTAAGGGGAATGTAGTGTGACGAGATGGAAAGTTGAAACAAAATTGTTCTGCTGCTATAATAGTTGAATGTAATTCCACCAAATGCATCATTTCAGTTTTTAAAAACGCGTTTTCGTTGACTGATACGACGAACTTTTTCCAGATTAAGTAGTTCATGGTTGGCTTTGCTATATTCTCCTTTCTATATCAAATTCTATTTGGGTTGGAATTTGTTACGTTATAGAATTTCTGCATATTTCTCAAATTGTTGTTTTGCATATTAAATAGCGACAACAACACAAATGTTGGTAAATAAATGATTATTTCATCCGCAGAATAACATTTTCATTGTGGTAGAAGCAAGTCACACAAACTCGTGATTGTTGTAAATTTTACAGCTCCGAGTTTATGTTACCTCTATTTATCCCAAGCAATTCGTTTGGTGAATCAATTGTATCTATACTGACGTGATGATGTACGAAATATCACTTGTCATCAATATTGACGGTATAACTTTTGTAGTTTTGACAGAAATGTGGTTTCTAATCACTGTGTTGTGAATGTAAATGACCAGACGGCATCTCTTGGTAAATCGGCTATTGACAACTCACCACAAAGGTGATTTTGTGACAATACGTCACAACAGTCATCGTAGTGGACATTGGTCAAGCAATGTAAACGGACGCGTCTTTAATCTGTTGATGCCTAATCTAGGTTACTAGAATTTACCAGTGATAAGTGAAAATTTCGAATTGCTGCTACTGAACAAACATGAGAACATGATGCAAAAATCAGACTCAAAATATTTTAATCCGACCTGTCACAACAAATTTGCAGCAATGTGATGATAAAGAATGTTTGCAATTTTATCGAATTCATGTTTATAACTTTTCACTAATTACTGCTTATCTCTAACCAGCCTTTGACCGACTGTGGATTGATCGTCTACTATACCTGCCGTTCACGACTTGCTTTATATACGATATATTCTCATTGTGAATTATCATTACATAAATGCGGCAATTTCCCTTTCAAATAAGGCGAGGTTTCAACAATTGTGCATCTTTTCTATGTTTTTTTCGGATTTACTCAAATCTTAATTTAATAATATTCTGTTAGCAATTTTGCTTATGGCGTCGTCTTGGCAAGAGTAACGTCAAAGAACGTGCTTGTCGAGCTATTTTGAACACTGGTTCATTTTACTTCGAGATTACAGAACATATCATCTATATTTAACTGTGTACAAATATTTTATAAACAATCACACAAATATTGTGTTGTTATATTCTGTTTTTGATTGACAAATAGGCATTGTACCGCTCACCTTGATATATGTATCGACCGATTTGGAGAAGACCTTTTCAAAACCGTAAAATCCTCGACCATCTTCTGTAGGAATAGTGACACTAGTGAACAAAGACTCGTATACTAGCGGATCTCTGTAGTAAGTAGGATTGATAGTTCTCACCTTGCTGCCTGGAATTCACCAAACATTTATTTCATTACATAGAAAATACAGAAAAATTCGGATACTGCACGGAAATTCTGCTTAGTTAGTATTAGTTTTTAAATTAAAGAGGTTTATTCCTCAGCAAGAGAAATAAGAGTGCGATTCATTATTTATGCATACATATTTTGAGGTGCAAAAGTATTTATATTTCAGGTTTTTGTAATGATATACAAACGATTTATAACATACAGAGGTAAAGGGTAAGAAAATGAATCATTGCACTGTTTTATTTACAAACACACATTTCGTTATAAAACAAGAATAAGCAATGCATGGGAGGCAATTCTTACTCAAATCTGTTAAGTAAATGGCGCGCGTATAAAGGTCTGTGATATTTCAATCGTGTCATGAAAATGCATAATATACATTTAAGTAAAAATGAATTAATAATAATACCACAACAGCATTTATTCGTATGGTCGTTTTACTGTTTATGATAAACAGGAGGATTGTAATGTCTAGAAAAAGAAAAACAACGTACCTGATTGCTGAAGACATGATTCTCTACAAAACATGTATCCGTCCGTACGTAACCACGAAAGTGTGTTTTGTAAGAAATATGTAAGCTGGTCATTATCCAGATACATATATAGCCAGTTAGAAAACACTATGTCCCAGTCATCACTCTTCAATTCCATGTCCATCACGTCAGCAGCGAGGTAATCAATATTTGTCATGTTTTTGTTAATTTCCCGGTTCTTCTCAATGAAATTCTCCATGAAATCTACCGCCAGCACTTTCCTTGCCTTCTGTGCCAGTTGAGTTGTAAATCGTCTACAAGGGTAAGTTACATTATACAGCTGTTATATTGTTGATATTTATGCTGATATTTGTTGATGTGATATCAGTTCAACATTAAGGAAAAATAGATATGAAGTATCTTGTTGTATTAAATATCGTATAATGTTAATTCACACCTGGAAAGAAACTGGTAAAATCATCTTTTCAGACTCGCTATATCTTAATAGTGTTTATATAACTAAAGTAGGATACCAATTCCCGAACATACTCCATAAACCATTGAGTAGAAAAAACTGATTTTATATCCATAGAAATAAAAAAAAATATGAATATTTTCTAAGACGTAGACTGCCGGAGGAATCAATTTATGTAAAATACCAGGTTTAGTGTTGAGTGAATGTGTAGAACTTTCATTATTAATGTATACAAATGACATATTCTATAAGTTTTGAAGATTATTGTGATGGGAGACGTGTTTTATAGACAATTTATGACGTTATCAGAAGAAAAGTAAACTTAAACGAGTAAAACAGATATCAATGGTTTGTTATAACCATAATGCGAATTCATTCTGATGTGTAACTCTTGATGAAGCAGATCATTATTCATCTGTCTCGTGTAAAACTGATATTAGACCTTATTTGGAAATGACCTTTATGTTTATGGAATGCTTTTTTAAGACATTAGTATTCATTTTTAAAGCTATATAGTAGGAACAACCTAAGATATTTACCCTGTGTCAGTTCCACAACATGCATACCATCGTACTTGTTAAAATATGATAACCTAAGATATTAACCCTTGCCCAGCTCCAAGCTCGACAACATCCATACCATTACTTGGAAAGATAGGATAACCTTACATATTTACCCTATACCTGCTCCAAGCTCGACAACATCCATACCATCGTACTTGGGCAGATACGATAATATCTCGGGCAGTTCATCTTTACTAAGTTCCTCTGCGTCGTTATCAAGCATCATTTCTTGCATAGATGCATCCTTTGAGTGTTCAATCCAGTAGTCTTTCATAGACGGTGTAGATCCATCTATAAAATTGTACTCTGACTTAATAGTATTTCCTTAAGACGTGAAAAAAACATTTTACATTAATCACCCTCACATTCTCAAGACCTTCTTTCACCATTGCATTTTACCAAACAGATAGTGGGTTTTAATCTTAAAGTTCGGTCAAAATTTCCTTCTTCCAATTTGACATACCAAACATTGCAACATTGAATATATATTTGTATTCAGTGAAAATAGATATTAGCATTCAATATATATACATTTGCATTGAAAATAAATAGTATTAGAAAAGTAAGTTTAATAACATATATTTTCATATTTAATATTTTGAATCCAATAAGACCCAGATCAAGTGCAAACAACAAGGATTGTGATTGTCTCCCTTTTGTGTTGTCGGTAAAAAACAAAAGATCCAAATGTATTGATTTTATGTAAGAGAATGCCCTATAGGAGATGGACAAGGCAGGTCAAAACTTCCTTACTCTATCGTAAATTCTGATCTATCCTTATGATCAGTAGGTGTTATATAAGTGTATTCAATACAGATGTCTGGATTGATGAGGTCACAATGTTTACAACGCGGCGGGTTTAGTGAACGGGTTGACGAGTATCGGATACGGTATAAAACACGTGTTCCAGCTTTCTGATACTGTCTTATCAATGCATATACGTGGTAAATGTATTTCCTGTATGTTTACCTTATAACAAGGTAACACTCTACGTAAATACGATTTTCCAATCCACTAAACCTGGGAGTAGTGTTATCCACTTTTACAGCACATAATTAATAAATTGCATAACGATAAGGCATTACACATCCCCGTACCACATTTTCACGCCTTTGTTTAAATAAACCATGTCTTGAGTTAATCTGTCTTTTTTAATAAAATAAAACAATTGGTTTTGACAATATGTGTTAATACATGACTGCATTACATTTACGTTTTAGTACATCCTTTACAGCTGTTGATCCGTATACATATCACGTGACACAAAATGCAATGATCTCAAACCACCACCATGATATGCTTAAGGTACCTTTGTGTGAGATATGCAACTCGAAAGAAATTATCAAAGGTTGCAAATGAAAATCGGTGGGTTTTTCAACAATACAGTGATGGAAAACAATATGAAAGGTGACGTAATTTATTAAATATTTATAACAAATAACTATATTCATACCTATTTCCTTTGTCTCCGCGTCAGATGAGTCCTCAGGCAGATTTTCACTCTGAGGTACATCAGTTGTTGTGTTTGTTTCTAATGGATCATTTCTATGAAAACAAACCATATCTCTAATCAATTGCAAATCTAGTAGATCATAGAGCGTCTTGTTTCTTAAGTATTAATTCAGTAAGAAATAAAACTTTTAGCACATTTGATATATCAATATGTCTTTAATCATTTAGTAACGTCATCTTCTATCTTAAAAATTATCCATGTTTACACCAAATATGTTTGTAAATATTAATATGAAAAGCGTTGAATCGGTAATGTATAACAGGTAGTTATATATCTTTTATATATGTATGGGGTCGTATAACCTACCCTGTTTGTATCTGTAGGCATGGGTCTGTTCCGTAAACCAATAACTCTCTGACTACTGTCAAATCTCCCTTTGTATCAACGCCATTTGGAGGTGTGTACCTTGTCCCACTTACAGCGTCGACCACGCCTCCTTCACCTTTAACAATAAAACTAGACATATTAATATGAAATCATATGCACTTAAAGCCCCAATATACGTAACATTCACCAAAAATCACACACAATTATTGAGATATTCTCTAAGATGTAGTTAAAATAAAGTTATTCAAACAATAGTTACCATGACTTTGTGCATAATGTATTGATATATGAGCAGTTGAAACTCGCTATTTGTAAACACACCTCCATTTTAAACACGCCGCCATCGAAATTACGATTGTTGCCGAACCACGTCGGACCTGATCTCGCGAGAGTTGAGGTTTCTACTTATAGAGGAAGCACATGCAGATATGTCTACGGTACGGTTTTGTTTACAAACATTGTTTGAGAAGTCTTGTCGTAGACTTGAGGTATTCCTGTGATAAACATTAAGTTTTGGGGAAATTATTAGAAGGAATGATTAGTTTAGAAACGATACGACGCACAATTATAACGTAAGAATTCAGAACTGGCCTGATGTGTGATTGGAAAAAAGGAAGCGACTGGTGAACGTCTGTACTGTGTCTGCCATGTTTACACACACGGAATATGCGCATGCGCAATGTCATCGCTACGAGCGGTAATGTATGAATTATTGTGGGTCCCACATTGTTTATTTTCCGATTTTTTCAATTTTTATTTAAATTGAAAACAGTCAGTTTTATTTTCTTTAATTAAAGGAAAGTATTTATTTTGTTACATATATTACGGGGAAAATAAGATAAAGTTTGTTTTTTATAGTGATTTTTACGTATATTGGGACTTTAAATACACAAGCAATGTGAAAAAAAGATCTTACGAAGTATCGAATTGAAATGGCAATATTTGTATTGAATAATGTGGAAAGAGATTACACGTATATTACATAAATAATCTATATTAAAGGAAAAGTGTACAATTCCAAACCCCAAAACAATATGAACGCACTTCATGAGCGTAAGTCATTCACTTTGCTTTAAGGGGCACCCCAGCCCCTGTAGACGTGTCATAAAGGACAAACATTTCATCAACTGTCAGAACTTCAAACTTACATGCAGGCTTTTTTTTACTGAATGTTGATTTCTCTTTCTCAAGAGTCGTTTTTTCCGCAATGAAATCTGAACAATTATTAATATTTGTTTATTTACTATTATTTCCGGCCGCTGATATATTCAAACTACTTAAGGAATTTTACTAGGAATAAACGGTTTATTTTATATAGATTCATTGTAAAATATTTCTGTTGGTATATCATTTTTGTTTTGGTGTATTGATTAAGACGTATGTTTCGAAGAATATGTATTTCTAAAATAAACATCCATTAAACATATGTAAATCACGCACTATCCAGTAAAAGGAAGTAATTAATCCACACAAAGTTATAATACTGCTAGGTGAACGTGTCATCTGTGAATTGCTGAAATAGACTAACTTACTTATTACATAAACATATTTAAATGAATAAATCTAATATTTATCATACGGTCAACCTGACTTAAAGAACATAAATACAAACTATATAGGATGATAAGTATTCCTTATGTCATGTTGATGTATTGTGATATCAGGACATTTATTGCACCCATTTGTAATTCAAATGTCGATAGCACTTACAGAATTAACACAATATATAGATAAATGTGAAAAATTCATGCCTTGCATACCAACATCGTAAGATCGGTCTCGTATGTATATAAAACTCAAATATGTATGTGACATAGCAGTGTTTATAACTGTAGCAATGCGCTATCTGACGAGGTCGCGTCCTTGACATTTAAATCAAATGATAACAACACTTAAATACACGCCTGTATGTTTACACTTCTATTGGTGGTAGTGATATATCACTACACTATCGTTCTATATTTCTCATAGTGCGAACTATCATCTCTAAAAGCGGCGAAAGTCAGATATGATAAATAATATTGAAAATTAGAAGTTTGTAAATTCAAACAAAGAAGAACAAGAGAATAACGATATGTCAACATAATCATAATCCGAACTCAAATGCAAGAAAACTATTACCAAAATATGAACAAAAGAAAGATTTACACAGAGACTTCTGAAAATGTTCAAGGAGAACAAGAGCCAGTTTATACCTAAGAATAGGAATATTATTAACATACATAATAATACATATAAACGTATGATATACTAAGATTGATATTATTTGTATTACTTGTGTCTGAGTCGTCCATAGGAACCTGGAAGATTTAAAGGGAACAGTACTGTGCCATATGAAACCATGGTATGTCTTATTACGAGCCAGAATTTTAAAATCGGCAATTAAGTTTGATATCTGATACAGTGTTAATTGAAGACTGAAGTATACCACACCATAAAAAGTCAATATATTTACAGGCAAACCGAAATTAACGTCAGTATTGATTCCTAACAACTGTGGTTACCGCAAATATGGTTCTACTTTTACCAAATTGCTTGTTAATAAAGGTATATATATATATACTAGAGGAATTACTTCTCAATTTATCTAAGATAAACTTTTTTTTTCAATTACTGAAAGCTTATTGTTGCAAAACAACTTAATACATCTTACATGACACACTGTAATATAAATGGACTTACCTTTTTATGTAAGAAATCAAATATATACTAAATGTTAACAAAATTGTTTTCTTGCATCGCCATCACTGTAATAATGTCAGTCAACTGTAGAACATTGACGGTAGTGTATAAAAGGAAAATGTATATCCGGTTGTGTAGGTGTGTCTCCGGAAATAGCACATTGAGTATTATCACAAACATAAGTGTAAGATGAAGTACTTTTATTACATTGCATTGTTTACCTCCTTTCAATAACTATAACGTGTTCATTATGTTGTTGTTAACGTATCGGTGATATTTCATAATTTCTTACTGGTATGCATCAACTTTTTAATGAGCTGGTGAAAATTATGGAATAGAGGCGTTAGATCAATATATTTTATATCAATGATCTGAGGAAATGTGATAATTTTGTATGTCATTGACACCGTCTAAACCTAAAACGTGCTGGTTCTCAACATCCTAGTCTACACGAAGAAATGGTAGCTGGTTATCAACGTGATAATTTCTACAAACTGCATTTCATTTTTTTATTATTTCTGTAAGAGACGGTCTGTTTTTCTCATACAATATCATGTTGATCAAATATAGTTAACATCATTTACGTATACATCATCCCAGATCTTCTCTAAATGAGTTTTTTCTACAGAGTTTGCCAACGGAGAATGACTAATGAGAGTTTGCAAACTGAGCAGAAATGATGGGAGTTTGTGAACGGAGTATGGCTAATGGGAGTTTGTCAACGGAGTATGGCTAATGGGAGTTTGTCAACGGATTATGACTAATGCGAGTTTGCCAACTATGAATGATGGCAGTTTGTCAAAAGATTACGACTGATGGGAGTTTGTAAACGGAATGTGACTAATGGAATAAGAAATGGACCTAAGAATGGTTTTCATGTCAACAAATAACGGAACGTAAAGGTTATATTTCAGAAGAGTAACACATAATAGTTGGTATCGGGTTTATTAACGATCACAGTAAATAGTATGCAACACATGGAGTTTTGACTAATTTACAAACGTTGACATTTTGGCTCACTTCTTTCTTAAGTATATGAAATTCTAGGTACAGCAATTTATCAACAAACATGGCCGACTGGATCGACTGACGGATTTTAAATGATTAATGTTACTCTGGTTTAATATCTAAAAAGTCAAAATGAGAATTATGTTCCACAAACTTTTTTTCTCTTTTTGGAACATATTCTTTTCCCGATCGATCTTAAGTTAGCATTATGTAGGTATAACAGGCGGCCATCTTTAATCTTGGCATTTTTAGTTTCATCTCTACCCAACTTGTCACACAATACAGGAAAACATTGTTCAGATTTTATGTATAATTGTCCAATAGTACTCTTTTATCAGACAATGAAAATAGTGATCATGTTTCTGTCACAATCATATTTACATAAATAAATGGTCTTTGAACAGCAACTATTCTTTAGTTGTTCTTGTTAGTACAATGTGATACAACAAAAGAAACTTCTGTCTCTAAGCATGTTACCTCAAGTTTATATATAATATCTAGCAAGTATTATATTTGATGGAAACATTCATGTAGAGTCGTCTTCACATGTAATGTATTCAGAAGAAGGGTACATAGCCAGAAATCAATATAAACAAAAACTGCGAATGAAATAGGTAATGTAGCGTCTTAAAGGAATATGTATTCTGCATGAGAAATGTGCAATTGGTAGATGTAAATGTTATGCTAACCTTGGTTGGTAACAATCTCTGACCAGGTCATCTGGATTCGCTTCAAATAGCGACATATCCTCAGACAGGTTCTGTAAACAGTTCACATCAATAGTAAATAACAGTAACAAAGATGTGCAAATTGTAAGTCTCAACAAGATTACAGAATTTCTCTTCTTGAACTGCTACGTGCATCAATTACCTGTTGAATTAAAAAACGCTGCTCTGACATTTTACAAGTTTTACCCTTCTTGCTGGACAGATGATACTGGTATTTAAATATTTTCTGGCACATCAAATAACGGATGTGTTAGTAATATAAACTTGAAAAAACAGACTCTAACTGGAACTGAATAACTATAACAGAAACAATTTTCTGTTCACTAGCTGTTTTTTCATAAGCTGCACTTAGTGATATATAATCTTAACAATATACTCTGGACTACAAAGATGGTGATGAAATTATGCCAACAAAAGAGAAGCGATTCCAATGCTACTCGAAATATTTGCCCATATCCCCCTCCACATCTAAGCCTTTAGCTCCTTCATTACATCTTATTTAAATGAAACATAGCATAGCATTTAACTGTTGTTGAAATAGGAATTTATCAATTACATACTAATTTAACATATATATATATGTTTCTTTGTGTTTGAAATGAATTGTATCGTTGACCATTCAACGAAATCCATCTTTGTTATTAGAGAGCTGCAATAAAAAGAGTAAATTGATCGACACTGATGGCATAAGATCTCTCGAGACTCTGCCATCCTCAACCAAAGGTTATAGAAATTGCTTATACATTCCTTCGTTACGAAGCTTGAGATGCACATTGGATGACTTGTGAAAATATAGATTTACCAATAATTTTTTTTTATTTGGTTATATCCAGTATACAATTGAGTATATTAGATTAATAAAGTTAAAATTACATTATGCATTTCCAGGTTTTATTAATGAAGTTATGTAATGTTATTTCATGCCGGTCTAAATCATTTACCTTGTGCTCTCAGTGTGGTTCGATTCTGGACACTCCATAAGTAGAACGTGGTGAGCCATGTTAACACTGGGAAGGGGATCATACTCAACTATAAGACCAAAACAGTAGCATAGATTAAAATAAAAATCAACTCGAAGTATATAAAAACCTAAAAGGAAAATCTGTTTATTTTCAAGTTAAATTCAACAGACATGTCACATGTAATTTCAAAGCATTCAGTACTTGACGACATTTAATAAGTAATATATCATATCATATGTTTTAAAGAAAAACATGATTGTCCATCGTCAATACAGAAACTAATGCCATGTATTTCACTAATATATTGTGCGTGGAGAGAAAATAATCGCGAAAATACAAACGGTTCATGTAAAAGATGGAAAGTTGGCAGAAATTATCAAATTATCATTTATGTATGTCAATGATATAGTGGCTTGCAAATTATGCGGACAACAAGGTAGCAATGTAACAGCCCACTTTCTGACACAATGTAATCAGTTAAACGAAACAACAGATTTATTATTTGACAATGTTGTTAATATCCTTGGAACTACAAACTATGTTGTTTTCGTAGAACTGGACGGAACAAGTATGGCAAAAGTAATACTGCGCAGTCGTGAACTTATTAATGTTGAAGATGATATCTGGGAACAGTTCATGAATATGAATAGTATCAGCATAGCAGCTATGGTTAAATTCCTACTTGAACACATATAATGTATTTTAAAAAAAGGACAATGATAAAAGGCTGAATAGCAATATATTTTGTATATGGTGTCCATTTTCTCAGTACTTGTTTGATCTTTATATGTTTGTAATCTTCATATATATAAAGGAAATAAAGATATCTATCTGTCTATTCCTTGCAACAGAAACTTTTGGGAATTTTTAACCATTAATCGATTCTTACCGTTATAGGACTCATTAAGGGGGATTAGGTAATCTGTACATCGATACTGATCGTCCTGAAATATAAAAATTGTTCTAAATATGCATTAATCTTCATAGTGATGATAAGTGAATAACACCTTCTAATACAAACTTAGAATTATGTATACAACAATTTCGTCTTTTTTTGGCTAGTAGGTGATGGTAAGGGCCTGAATTTATTGGAAACATAAGAGGTCATAGGAGCATAGATGTACAATATTCGAAACGATTTTCATGAACCAGATGTGATAATGCATTTATCTAAAATATCAATAATATTCATAGATTGTTTTTGAAACTACAATATTTATGTGGATAAGTTAAGAATATTACTTTAAATGTTATTTCAATATTGTGGCGAACCGAACTTTACATCAAGTGTGCGATTGGCAGTGTTCTACAGAACCCCCACTGTTATACCAAGTGTGAAATTGGCGGTGATCCACCGCACCTTTACATTAAGTGTGAGATGATGTACCTCCAAACCTCCTCTCTAATATCAAGTGTGAGATTGATGGTGTTTTACCGCACCTTTGTATCAAGTGTCACATTGATTGTGTTTCTCCTCACCCCTACCTTTATATTAAGTGTCAGATTGAGGATGTCCCTCCAAACCCTCATCTTTATATCAACTAGGAGATTGATTTTATTTCTCCGAACCTCCACCATTACATTAAGTGTCACATTGATGGTGTCCCTCCGAACCCCACTATTACATCAAGTGTCACATTGATCCTCATGTTATGTCAATTTTCAGTTCTTTTAATTATTTTGTTTTCTGTATAGGGAGTACACAAAAATGTGCAAGATAAATTATTTCAACATGATTAAGACATGTTGGACGACCGCCTACTACATATATATACTTACTCCGATAAACTCTGCTCCAGTATCTATATGATCTTGTATTTTCTTTACTATACACCTAAGGTATGCTGTTTTAACATTTCCCTGTCATTCGCCAAAATGTTGATCGTTTGTGTGTTCGTATAAGGTCGAGGTAAATCCTTACACACCCGATAAACTGCATTAGTTACGTCAAATTACTGCAAGCTTTTAAAACATCCTATATCGTATACCTTGGGTCATTTGTTTACAATCTTTCTATAAATAGACACACGCAGATATCAATTGTATCTATATTTCTCTTACCAGGTCGATATGATATCCATTTTATCATGGTACGTAGTACATATAAATGACTTTGTTCATACACAAGACTGAAAAACAGTAAAATCAATTAATAAGATATAATTAAAAGGAAATGAAGTTTATATACACATAAGTATGTTACCTTGTTTAAGATCACATTGTTGTTTACGTCCGTCTGATATTCAACATCCGAGGAAAGCCACTGGAAGGGTGAAGCGAAAGTTACCAAATTCGCAACGAACATTGTTTTCATCATAATGTTTGATAAAGTTGACATGTCTAAGGCCTTTCTGTTCGTATTCTACATGTAACTTAAATGATGAATACCTGTGTGTTATATATAAATGTTTGGTCAGTAGTGTAACTTACAACACGGTCGTTACTTATCGCGGTTGTATGTCAATCTATAAATAAATTTTCCGTAATTAAAGGGATTTCCTGAATGAACATCAAGCAGTCGGAATCAGTACAACCTGTGTGCTAGCACTACAGTGTGTCTTGTTTAAGTGATGACGAGTCATTTAAAATATAGAACGCGCTGCTATATTTAGCCCTACTGAACAATGCGGGCTGTTTCGGGTAGTACTGAACAGTTCGGACTGTTTCGGGTACTACTGAACAGTAGTTGGTTGTTTAAAGCTGTTAATAGTGTAATTCATAAGTGCTGTGCATTTGAATTTCAAAGTCAAATGACTTAAAAATAAAACGTCTGAACAACTTATAGAGGCAAATCACCTTGTTTGCTCTGTAATGGAACAATAGTTTAATTCACAGCATATATGGTGGATGCGTTTCTACCACTATTAGTAACACTTTAACTCTGTCTCTAAAATGACAAATGTGAATATTAATAATAATATAATAAATGTGAATACTGACATTAAATTATAGTTTTAAAGACTAAATTCGTCGTTGTGATAATATGCGGTTTCCTTTTTTCAGGACAGAACTTATAGACGGAGATATTTCTTTCGATTCCTCTTTTAGGTAAGACCTAATATGTTTTTTGAATTTTTTAAGAAGAAGAAATCTAATGGTCATGTCCGTCGGAAATACATCCTCGAGTCTTTAAATCAATGACACTTCTGACTCTCCGACTTGTCGATGTTTGCTATACCTGTTATAAAGTTACCAACATGGACAGTTTTATACTAAGAGGTATGATAACGTGAAGATTGACATTTCCTTTTAAGAACATTTTATTTCTCCGCAAAATAATCCTCCCTCCCCAACCTAGTATGTTTATATACTGTGTGGTATTCGCTACTCTTAAGACTTGCCATATATATATATATATACATGGATGCATTGCATTTCATTTCTCATATATATATATATATATATGAGAAATGAAATGGGTTGTGTTTGAAGCCCATTGAAAGAACGTGGCATAACTTTATCTGACTTTCATTTACATGATGAGCGTTGTTGCTGAAACAAAAAGTGATAACCCTTCCAAAACACTTGATCTTCTTCTTATCCTTCCCTTAAATCTTACCCTTGTTCATTCCTAGAAAACAACTATATAAATCCTGTTGTTTGGTATTCCCAAATTTCCTGTCGATTGCAAAGTATAACATAAAGACTGTACCTTTTAACTTTGATCTTTTGACTTTGACCTTAATGCTGAACCTTTAGTAATATAATGTGAGTTATTACTTAACTCCATTAATTTTGATTTATTATATCATAACAAATTATATCAGTTACGAAAGAGAAATTCTTATCTAGACTTGATCTCTGAAACTTTACCATCGACTTTTAACATCATTTTTGTCAACTTCAATAGAATTTGACCTTTATTCTACCCACAATGACCTTCACAGCTAATAAAATGACCAATCAATTTATTTTGATTTATTTAACATAAAATCAGGTGACAAACCATTCAATTGTAGCAAAATTTGCTATATGACAAAACAGTTTTGAAAAGAAAATTTAAGTGCGTGAAAAGAAACTACATAACGAATTTATTGCACCAAGGACCCATTTAAATATATATATATATATATATTTATTTATATTTTATATTTACTCCATGTTTTTAGTAAGAAATGATAACTGAAGCCAACAAGTAAACATAACAATAATTTTTAATCAAGAATTTGCAACATTAAGCAGCAGTAAAATATGAGTTAATAATAATGAGTTCAGAGAGTGCCTGCGTGCACTAGCGATCACCATATTTCCTTCAGTTTTTACTTATTGACTGTCAGATTATGAATTATTGTAACAGAGCAGTTGCTGAATACTTGAGGTACACTGTTTTGTGTGGTGGACATAATGTTAGAAACATTTTGAACATTAGACTGAGCAGGTGTGAACTCATTCAGTATATCATTCAGATCAACTCCAACTAATTCACTACAAAGGTTGTTAGAAATGGGCAATAATTCCTTAAGTGGGGCTGAACACCTAACAGAGGTGACCGTGTACCAGTGCTAGGGCCAGGCAAGGACATATCTTTAGAACCAGGTACAATATTCTCAGATAAAGTTTGTCCCATCTGAATTTTTTCCTCATCACTGACACGTTGGTACGTAGTAAGGGACTGGACACTTTTGTGTCCTGTTACAGACATTATTTGCGCAGCTCGATACCTATTTTTTGAGAGAACAGTGGCTCCAGTAGCTCTGATAGAGTGATTAGTGTACACCTGTGATAAGTCACATGACTTGCTAAGATCTGTCATAAAGGATTTTATTTTTCTCCCCCACTGCAGCATTACAATACCAAATTTCATCTGTGTCCAAAAAACTGTCTTTTGGTCTTTGCCAGAGCCTGAAAAGAGAAAAATAAGTACAACATCAATACATGAAAAAAAAAATGTTGCGAGAGGCATGTTTTCTTCAAATTAGACAAAAATGACTGCATGATTAATTTATGAAATAATAAATATGTTTATCTGAATGGATTGAATGCGAAAAAGTTAAGACTGAATCTCTCAATTTTTACATTTCTACATCAAGATTTATTTTTTCCATGTGTGTGAAATTTTTGAACTTTAATAGTAAAATAACAGATTATCATAATAATTAAACTTGCCTGTCATTTTCTGGGTTTAATCTGCTGAATACTTCAGGAATGAGGTCACTGGACAGTACAAAAGACCCTGGTATTTCTGGCATAACGCCTGCTGTCGATTGCTTGTCATTTTCCCTGTGATTTTTTGTAAGCTCATCGACTGCTTTCTTTACGTATCTCAATTATTTGCATCCGTTGTCACTTTAAATGTTGTTTTCGTCATGTTTTGCATGTTTTCATTCCCCCTTCGGCAGAAATACAATCTGATATCAAACTGTACTTTATTGAAAAGTCCAGTAGGTGTTAAAGTGGAGAGACGCATAGTGGTGTAGATTTTCTCTCTGTCGGCTTCAATTATCACAGGATAGTGAGAAACGTCACCTTTTCCAAGGCGTTTCAGTTCCGCCAATGAAGCTTTAAAATTTATATTGGAGTCAAAGAATTGAGGATCCTTTAATGTCATATTTTTTGTTGAAAGGTGGATTTCTAATATACCTATTCAGGCCGTATATATGCTTTCCAAGGATGTGGCCTTGTAATGTCCCATCACATTTCCTGGCATCCATGTAAAAATGGCCAAGACATTCGTCCAGTCGGACTACATCGTAATCTTCAAAATCTGGGTTTTGCTGCTTTTCCACCAAATAATCTTTGAACACTTTAGCGGCCAACTTATTAGCTTTTAACGTCTTATCAGCGTTAAATGCCAGGCGTTTTTTTTCCTTGTCTGCAGTTGTCGTCTGCCCGAACCGCCCAGCCATTTTTGATCCGAGTCAAATAGGTGCTTCATGTAGGGGAAACAACTCGTACTAGATAATAGCAACTTCTAGGATTCACTCTAGCCAATATTCCGACACGGAACAGAATATGAATATCGCCAATCTGTGATTTGAAATTACGAAGTGACGCCTTTCAGAGATAATGGATGGCGGCCATTGCCCCCTATATATTCAGCTGCCCCCTATGATTTATAGAGGGCAAGCAAATCGTCCAATCAGATCAATGCATTCTAGTCCGAGGTGCAATAATACGTCATACCTTTACCCAAATATTTCTTGAAGGATTAGAAACATATAACTCAAAAAATCTTCAAGTTCAAAAGTATCGTATTATCTTTCGCCTGTGCATCTGGAATATTTTACTTTTTCAGTTTTGCCACGGGCTATAAGTGTTGGCAGTCACTGGTGATTCTTTGAGCCACGAACCAGGTCAATATGTATTCAGGGAGGTATCTTCAAATGGAGTATTATAATTAATTGATCAACGTGAACATTTATTTATCTTTAAAGTCTTGACATAGTCTTTATATAATTGATCTATACATCATCATATTTGAATGATGTTTCAATTCGAATAAGCCCATTTTCTAAAATTGTCTCTTCAGTGTACAAACACTGATGTTAACCTGAGCAGAATGAGCTATAAGTTTCATGATTTCCTTGTTGTTATATACGATATTTTTTCTCCATTTTGCAATAAATGAATAACAGTAAGACACGTGAAAGAATCATGGATAAAAGGAAATGTAACTTGAAAAAGTAATAACGAGGTAATTCAAGTCGTAATAACTAAATAAATCAAGTTGTAATGACGAGATAATTCATGTCGTGATAACGAGATAACTTCAGTCGTCCTAACAAAATTACTGAATTCGCAATAATGTTTTAACGAAATATTGTAAAGCGTAATAACGTGATAAATTTAATTTTTCTTGTGGTACTATAGGGCTTTCGTACATCAGTATATATTTCATCCCCTGTTAAACGAGTTTGTGGGGATTTTAACTTTGCCTCTGTCCATCCGTCCGTGCATGGGTATTTTTCCAGACTAGAACACTAAAACCTTTCAGGATTGCACGGTACAGTTATCAAGCCAGTGCTCAAATAGTGACTTTTGCAATGGAGAAGTTTTCTATTTTTCTTTCTTAAATGAAACAAATAGGACAAATCACAAATTTCAGTTGCAAGAAGCATAAGACCAAAACCGTAGGAGATAGCAACCTGAAACTGTGTTCACATATCAAACTAGTATTCTGGTAATGCTTCTTGCTATAGTGTCATTCTCATTCTTTATAACTTCTTTTGGTTACCATGGAAATAAGCAAATCTACCAATTTTACTAATTCCGGAGTAAGGTGTCAAAACTAAAGATTATCATCCTATCACTTTAGTGGTACCTTTTGCGGTGGAGGGGTTATCATTTTTCCTGTTATCATAGAAACATATAAGAAACAGAAGTTTCTAGAGCATGATAACAAATTTGTGCGAGAAATAATTGAAAATGTGTAAACTTCGTACAAGCTAGCAAGCTCTAGGTACATTTTGCTACTGTATATGAACTTTCATTTCGGATATTCTTTCTTTTATGATGTCAGTCAAAATACTTTTAATTATCGGTAAAGTATCAATTTCAGAGATAACTCTCATATCTATATATATTTCCAGTAATTAAACACATAACAAATGTTATTGATTAATCATTTTATTGGCAAATTATGCCAAAACATACTCAAAATTATAAGAGTAAAATATTGTCCACATCGAAATATCAGAAATATTGGTGTAGTGGAGCTTATACTTGTTACTTTGATTATTAACGTATATATATATGTGTGTGTATAAATGGTTTTCTTTCTTTCAGATATGTGGCCGCGGGGAATGATAACAATATTTATGTTACCTTGTGCAAGCATAACTTGACATTTCACCAAAAAAACTCATTCCTAGCTTCTTCGTCTAAACTGTCCACTGAGGTTTTTCTTCTTTTTTAATATATTCCCGATTATATTTTCTTACAAACTCCCTGTATACGGGGTAAGTATGATGATTATGGTGTACCTTGGCAGACTGAAGGGTATTCTGACAATGGAGGTAAGTTCCAAAAGAATGTATATATGTAAAATTATGGTAAAGCACAACCCTCCAAACCCTTTGAGCGCACATCGCCTTCACAAAAGTATGATGCTACTGTGCATAGAATAGCACATTTAAAATGGTCGAAAAATAGTACGGATTGAAAACGAATCGGTGAATATAAATTTCATTTTTAACGTGACAGTTATCGAAACACCACTGGACCCAGCTTTAATAGGGTCTCTTTAGAGTATAGTTTCATACATCAGAGATTTGCTTGTAAAATGTCCCGGACAACAGAAATTACCTGTATATTTGTTTGTACATGTCATGACCGTTCTGGAGACGTCTCCGGCGTCACTAAAACAACATTTCAGATTTACTTGCGTATATATATTCTTTCTCTCTAAAATGATTGAAAAAAAAATTGAAAAAAGCAGGAATGTAAATAAAATTACAAACAAAATGTGTTTCCATTTATAAACACATTCCCTCACAGGTCTACTTCAGTTTCTATAAGATACCTTGGTGATTGTAACTAGAAACATTTCAATTCGAAAGCCGTATATATCCTTAAGTAAGTAGTTGTTATGTAGTTCATGACATCCCTGTTAAAATTCGTGTATGAAACATTTTGTTGTGAACGAGTATGAGCGTGCCTTTCATACCTATAGCTTAATGCCTAGAAGTTAGTTCTTCGCAGCTCCTTGGTTTACGTTTTCGATACAAAATAGGAATTACTTTCAGAAGAAAACTGCACGTACAAAACTTGATGGCTATATTACCTGTGAACGCCTTTGAATAATAAATACATGTAGCTGATTAGCAAAAACAATGCCGTTTTACCGCCTATGTTGCGAAATCGTAACTTTCGCTTGGTAATGTGTATTAATGCAAACAGAACTATGATCCTAAAATCTTGACATGTTAGTGAAACAAATTCTATGGCAACTTAGTGCTCCAAAGTGCTGCTGGCGTCTCGCCTTACTTTCTGTAGGAGCCATGTGATCTGATTGGAATTATTCATCACCTAAAACAAAGGAAAGTACTCAATGAAAAATTATGTAGAAAATGGACGTGTCGATGGCTTTTGTGAATTGATGTTTCGTATGGATAAACATGACATCGAAATCATTTCTAATGTAGATCAAACAGTGTAAAGGCTCGTACCTGGCTGTTTGAATGATGTTTTCTTTAAGTGAAAATATTTCTGTTTATGAATCATACATCTAATTGAGTAATCTGTAAAAGAGGTTTATGATTACATACCTCGTGCGCTCCATTGAATTTATGATGTCATTAACTAAACAAAATAACACATCCTTAAATAACTCTGCCAGTCACCCTCTGGTACAGCATTAATGTGCTTTATTGACGAGTATGTCGTCATATATAAACATAAAACTTAATTGTTTCCACCTTTAAGAATGCATTACCTTACGATATATTTCCACAGGCCTTGAAGCAATAACGTTGAAACCATAGACTGCCTGTTTGTCCTCCGTAGGTACAGTGACTGAGTTAAATAGCGCTTCATAATCATTCGGTTCACGGTAGTAAGTAGTGGCTTTCCTGAGGGAGATGTTACCTAAACATATCATTTCAGTAGAATTCCTTTAAATGATGTTCTTCGTTGATCAAGTTTTTTGTTGACTACTAATGAAATATGTACGATTGGACAGGATGGTTGACCCTTTGTTTGACATTAAATGGTAAAAAACACTTCTAATACTCAGGGTTATTATTACTATTCTATGTCTTATTCTCAGATGTATTGTTAATATTTTATGCCTAAAGGAAGAAAAGATACGAGGGGATATTCTCTCTTCAAGTTTATAATTCACTTGCAGATCAGACTTTTAAAAAATGTACCTCCCTTTATTTTTTTTATTTTGGTTTTCTCTGTTAGTCTTGTGACTTGTCAAGTCTTTTATACCAACTTTACTTAAGATAGAAATAAGATCAGATGAAATATAAAACAGCATGCGATTTAAAGTTGTGACTGGTCTTAGCCTCTGAGCTGACAAAACTATCATATAATCAAATGATTATCAATGTACCTTAAGTGGTTTGAGTTATGGCCCAGGCAAACAGTTACCAAAACGCACTTGAGACCTTGAGGTGAAGGTCACATGAAAACTAATTTCGGTGCAAACAAGTATGCATGTGTAATCATGATGTGTAACCTTTAATGATTCAAAAGATATGGCCATGACAAAAAATACTTGAAATTACTTTATTTGCTATTTGGCCTTCAGGTGACGAACGTACTAACCTAATTACACTGACCTATGGACAGTTCAGATTATTCTAACTTGCAAAGAACGTACTGGAAATTTTGAACTCATTTGACTTTTGGCTCTCTACATTTGTTGAAAGCTGTGATACATTCAAATAAGCCTTCTTGTGATATAGATTGACTTTTAAATAAAAATACATGTAAAACAAATTTAAGTTTATTGATATACGCATGGTTTTAGATATGCTCTGGGATAGCTTAAAAGTGAATTTCGTTTAGGCGGATAAATCAACATACCTGATCCATGTACACAGGACTCTCTTAGGAACACGTGCCCATTGAGTGAAAGCCAATACAACAACTTTGCCAGTAGACATCGAGTGGATTCATTGTCAAGGTACATAAAAAACCAGTTGGTGAAAATTAAGTCAGCACTATTTGGGGACATCTTAAGGTTCATGACGTCATCGACAACATAATCTATGTTGTCAAGGCAGCTGTTGGACTTCTGGTTTTTCTTTATGAATTTATCAACAAAGTCAACCGCAGTTACGTGTCTCGCTTTCTGTGCCAGGTGTGTTGTGAAACGACTATAGAGTGTAAGAGGATGCGTTTTTACAACATAAAATTAAACTTGTACTTGAATTTGTTAACTTGTAATTAGGAGAACAGTTTTAAATGTCGTATACCACAATTACCGAAATAGTGATAGGATTGAGATTTTTTGTGATTGCAAAAGGTATCTGTAATATTTTTTGAAAGTCTTACCCTATTCCTGCACCGAGTTCTAAAACTTCCAGCCCTTCTATTTCAGGTAAATATGAAATTATTTCCGAAACATCTCCGTCAGAAAGTTCATTAGATAGAGTGTTAAGCATCATTCCCTGGGGTGATGCATCTTGAAACTGCCATTCGCTCTGTAGTAATGCTCGATCGTCTACAAACAAATTATCAACTCTTAGATATAACATTATTCGTTGGTTTTCTTTGTCTTTCATTCATTACTCATTGCATGTTGACACAGCTACAAAAGTTTTTAAAGCTTTTTCCACTTTTTCTATATTTTTAAACCGTAGGCAGTATTGAATGTAACACTGGGCAAGCTGTATTATACACTCAATCTGATAATTGTTTGCGTGATGTAAGACAAATTAAGCGATGGATAACTCAAACAGAATACAATCTAGCGAAATTGTTAATTATATATGCCATACCACAATACACATAGATTCAATATTGTAATGTGAACTGCCACAACTTAACAACACTTGGGATACATATCTATATGCTGTAAGATATACACTGCATAAATGATGATGAATGCCATAAATTGCTTGTGTAATACGTCGATTGTATAACTTTACAACGAAAAAAGTATCTCGCAACAGCTTTACTCAATATATATTCAACGTTAATCTTAATGAGAGACTGATACAAACTTGCTAACACATTTTGTTTTAATTCATAAAGTAGCACAGTTAAGGTTAAAAAAAGTATGTGTATGATGTAATTACTGATGTAAATATACATACCTGATGCGGATTGTAAAGTGTCCATAGTATCAACACACCATACAGGTCCAAAATTGACGGGGAGTCAAATTGATAGCTCTAATCTAATGCAAAAAGTCTGAAATGTTCTGTTCTGATAAAAACAACTTGTGGGGCGTACAAGTACGTAGGTGATATATGTTTGTCAGGCGTTGTTACCTTGGGTTATTCATACAAACAGTCGAGACAGAATACCTCGTAATCCCTTTATGACTTTAGTAAGAACAAGTGTGGTGGAAAATTAACATATTATAACTATATTTATACATATTACCTCGAGCATTCTAAAATTAGTAGGCGCATCTTATTCTTTTTTATATCCACTACAACTTGAAACATAACCTTCGTGTCGAGACGTGCCTGATTACTATACCATATAAACTGTACATATTACTCCAAAACATCGCTCTCTTAAAATTATCCGGTATTCCATGTCACTAGTTTTTGGACTCCTCTATAGAATACAATGTACTCTGCTTTCTGCATTAAATACCTAAAACGTTATACACCATACTCCATACCTGGTGATTGGGGAATATGATGTTTTTTATCTCATAATCATAGTTAGAATTACAGGTATAACTGCTCGCTGATTTTCTACAGTTAATAACGCTATGAAGTGGTGCAAATGCGGGCAATGCAGCAGCCTTATTTTTGGTGTTTTTTTTATTTTAAAAACTCACTTATTCAGGAATATTTCGAGCATAAACAGAGCTAAATATACATGTATCTATTTTTACTCTTTTTATTACAAGTTCGAGGACATATGAATTCATGGAATATGAGTGTTATCCCCAAAACATTAATTTAATTCGAATGAATGATATCCCGTGCGCAGCATGTTTTACCTCCATTATAACAAAGCTTAGCATCGCATTAATGTCCATTAACAGGTCTATGTTGCCTTCTTCTATACATCTTTCAATAATCCGTTGACAAACCCACAGGAACTGACTGATCTGGCTGTCTTGCTTTTGTTTTTATACAGGTCTGGTAAATTCTCAAAGAGTTTATTAAAAGCAGGTAATAAGGAACTCTAATTTCACTGCTAGATACGTTGATGTCTTGAGCCTTAATACTTAAACAAAGGATCATACCAATTGTGATGATTCCGATTTCCGTGTTATGAACTTTACATTCTGGGTTGTAATATTAACGGTGATTCCTTGCAGCAATATATTCGATATTCAATCACTTGTTCCCAGTATCACCACAATTCTCAGCATTTGACAGATTTCAGGTTATTAAAGATTAGGAAGACAATGAGAGAATTTTTATTTGAATTCCTGATCTCACTGAAAGATATTCTATAGCTCTATGTGTTTAATACTCGCTGGCATGCAGGTCCTTTTCTCTATCATAAACCTTGTTGTGATGATTAAGGAACGTGACATAACTCACTAGGAAGTATTTACTGAGAACTTGTCATCGATAAAACAGAGGACGCTCATCTGTGCGGAACACTTTGTTTTTTTTCTGTTTAATGGTACCCTTATGCATTTTCCTCTTCGGCACATTTTGATATCCTTTTCTCGAGTTTAAATGAAATTTACATCATGTCGACGTTTTCTTGCTTTTGTACCCATTTCTGACAAACAAAACTTGTTTTATTCAACCGACATCAATGATGCTAAAGTAAAGCATTCAAAGAATACCAATGGTCAAGTTAAACAACTTTCATCAAATTTGATGATCATTTTATTTTATATTCATACGGTATTGATATTCATATTTCAACAAATTTACAATATATTCATATCTAAAAATATATCAACAATTGATTCAGTCATATTACTTATTTCAAAATATCGAGACATTTCTATTACTGAAAGAGATGTTAACATTCATTCAGCGATCGAGATGACAAATGCAGTTAGCTATCTATAGCCTGAAATGTTTGATGTTTGAAGAACGTTATGTGTTATACCATGATCGGGAAAGTTCTTCCTCGAAATAGCATGTAACATACATTGTAGCATAACACTTATATGATGTTGAAGATTATGGAATGTGTGTATTTTGCCAAATGATTTCCTCAAATCTCGGTTGTATTTCATATGAAATATACACTAAATATGAAAGAACAAATTGCTCAGATATTACAATCTAGCTTCGTTCTCTCGCCTCACTTTCTGTAGGAGCCATGCAATCTGGTTTTTGTTCTTCATTACCTGGAAGGAAGGAAACAACACATTTATTATGTAAAAGTATTGTGAATTTGTAATATCACAGTTTCAACATTTTTTGTTTGTTCAATGGTATCTTAACAGTCAAATGATGCACTACATAATGATTATATCCATTTCATATGAAACTCCTGATCAGTAAAGGGAAACATTTATGACGAGTTTCATTTGCGGTCATCTGTGAGAAAAACACCATATCTGACTGAAACATACGTTTATTTCGCACTTTTGTCACTCCTTCATTCTGGTTTTGCTGGTGTAACTATACAAGAAATTAACATGTTGAGATACAAAACTCCCGTCCCTCCTTATATTTCCAGCGATTATTAAAATCGTTATCATTTGTTCAAATTGTATCGAATGTCCAATTACATGTAACAAGTTTGGTAAGAGCCTATATATCTCAGTGTAAAAGACGAACAAATGTATTGGCTAAATTTGCAACATATTGAATGGAAAATAATAGTCAATATACTGTACATGTTAACCTTGTGGAGTTAGTACAAACATACAGCATTATTTTTACATTTCGAAGAGATGTAAACGACAAAATCGTTGCTGATCCGTCAGCGGTCATGTGTTCAATATACCTGAATAGGAGCTGCATCTCGTCTACTTGGATAAATCCTAACTCTAACTTTATCTTACATGCATTACTGGTACATCATTCACGGTTAAGAACGTCTTTATGTAAGATGAAAAGGATTAAATCTCAAAAAACGTTTCAAATTGTTCAGATGGAGCTCTCTTTTTTAAAGATAATAACGCTCTACAGGTTTTCCGTAAGAGGCGGTAAACCTTTGGCTCTTTTCAACTTCGTTTTTCTTCATAGGAACATACTTTATTTCTCCTCGCCTTAGTACTAAACATTTGCCGAAACAATAAGTGAATGGTTCTGTTGACGTCCAAGACACTCCAAATTATCTTAAATTTGTTTCTCATCTAACTGCTTGTGTGTACATTGTTGCTCGGAAATCTACCTGATTCATACCATATACCTTTATGTTCGACCTCGTAACAGGTGTCAATAAAACATTATGTTACAATACTTCAGATTTGTGACACAAAGTCGTGCTTGTTTCTTATATAATATGATCGCCGAAAGATTTACTGTTGTGTACAAAATCATCTATCATTTATGATAAGAAGTAACAACTTTCACTGCAAATCTCGGTATAGAGCATTGTCTAGATGTGTCGGGAATAGTATATACATGGCACAAGGTATCATGACCTCCACAAGATCATCCATGTCAGGTACCAACTTCTCAAATATCAACATGACTTGTATTGTATGACAGGAACAACTTGCTATGTTAATTTGAATGATTAGATTACAAGTGACAAGACAAATAACAATAAAGAAGAAACCCGCGACAGGTACGGTGTAATCAGCAATTAATTAGGTTTACACATATATCTCTTTCCACGAGAGGTTTCAAGCGTAAATGCTTCATCGTTATCTCGAAAATGTGAATTTGTCGCATATTTTCACTGTGAGGGGCCCGATGTGACAGAATGGTTATTTTATTATTAATATCTAACCCTGGTTGCAAGTTCAAGGCTACGTGTCGCAGTCGCCACGTGCTGGCCGCAGATTGATAGTTTTTCTCCGGGAACTCAAGCTCACTTGACATGTACTTAAATGACCATGGTGGCTGTTTACAGGACGCAAAGCAATAATAGGCAGTTGAGCAAAAAATCTAAACGTAGAATTGAAAATCATTATTACCTTGATGTAAGAGTCTAATGACTTCGACTTATCTATACGAAAACAATATTCCTTCGCTCCACCACTGGTAGTCGTACTGATGGTGCGAAACAGTTCTTCATACTGGCGTGCTTCCCGATAGTAAGTCGTATTTTCTCCAAATGACAAATCACCTGAAATACAGAAGTCCAATCGTTCATCGTTTTCATTTGTTGATACAGCCTTAATAACGATAGTTAATGTCTATCTCAAGCTGCCTACATACAGTATATTTCTACAACCCCTAAAGTGACCACGAGCAACGTTTATACATATAAAAGCAAAATATATTACTCACTATTCATTGATAATCACCTACTGTTTGATAAAGATCTTAAAATGCAAGTAATGATATCATATTTTCCTTTAATTCTACTTCTGGCCGATATGTCTTCCAGATTGTTCCATGTGGACATGTTCAGTCAAAAATGAAAGCGAGTACACGCTGTTCCACCTGTACACCCTATAGCTTTGCTGAATATATTGTTGTTAAAATTAGTAAGGAAATAATTTTAAAGAACATTATTTGCGTAATTTTCTTTTAACTATGACACAAAGATGGACCAGACAACAGTGAAATATGTAATATGTAGGAGCATAGGAACGACGCAACCTGGCTTTTCACAACGTCAGGTTACAACAGACTTTTGAAATCTCAAACCGTGGTGTAAGGAATGTGGAATCGCTTCCATACTAAGGGTAACTCTTTCAGACGTCATACTAGAGGTCGTTCATTAGCTACAACGCGGCGCCGTGATCATCTTTTGCTCAACAAGGCACGGCAGCATAGGTTCCAAACTGCCACAACTTTATTGAAATGATTTCGTAAATTATTCTTGTACCCGAGTATCCATTTAGACAGACAGAAATATAACAGACCTATAAAGGTAATATTTTTCTCTATATACTTTATACGGTTCAGAATATACATATGTACTTAACATTATTCTAAAATTATATATGAAAATCACGAAATTTATTTAATTATCAGGCAAGTGCAGTTCCACGTTTAGAAAGACGAAATGGTTTTATGATGCAGTTTGGCGCTAGTGTGCCTAGCTTTAAATTTCTATTAAAATGTGTTATTCATTTGTTTGCCAATTTGTACAGTCTTTGTGCTGCAGTTACATTCCATGTTTGGAAATGGGGTACCTTATTACAAAACTATATTGAAAGGTTATATTCACTTGTGTGCCGTTTGTATAATACTTAAATTTTGCAAGCTTAAACATTGGAAGTGAACTTAAGTTCGCGAACTTTAGTGTTACCTTGGATACCACATTTTAATTTATTCAAATAGTGGCGTAATTCAGAGTATATTTAAGAAAATTGCTACCACAGACCATTCGATATCATGAACGTTTTTAAATTACGGGTTAATGAGCCTCCCCATCAACATTTTGACTTTCATTTGGGCTATTTTAGATTTCCTTCTATCGCCTTCAAACAGTTAAGGTCACTAACATACGTCCAAGAAGGAGGAACTGGCTGTATAACGAGTTAAATGCGTCACTTGCCAATGCTTTATCTTGTTCTAAATTTGATTTGATATTTGGTATTCGCTTTTGAGTATTTTGTTAAATACTTCCATTGCACATAAACTTATAATTACCTGATCCATAAAGACAGGACTCTCGAATAAATACGTAGCCTTCAGAAGGAACCCATTTCAGTATATTGTTCAGCAGACGTGTTGTGTCATTGTCGTCCAGGTACATAAATAGCCAGTTGGTAAAGACGAACCCAACACTATTCGGCTCCAGCTTGATATTCATAGCATCGTCGACGATGTAGTCTATATTTGTAAACATGCTGTTTACTTCTTTGTTTTTCTTAATGAACTTATCAACAAAGTCTACAGCTAACACGTGGTCAGCTGTCTTCGCAAGACTTCCCGTAAAACGCCTTTTAAATGAAAATAGAATGTAGCCTTTATTAGATTCAACCATTTCTTTCAGTACAGTAATACAGTAATGGTTGCATAAGATTGTTGTTAGGACAGTACAATGTACATTTATATCACTATAACTGAATACGCATTAGCCAGTTGTTTCTATCACTATTAAATATCTACATTGTAGCAACAACGCTCGTATAATGCATTTTGAAATGTTATTCTATACTTGTTTTACAAAGGATTGCCAAATAATCATGATTGTGATTCGGTTGATAGAACAACACGTATGAAACCTGCTCGATAAACGTGTTTTATTTATTTCCAAACTGAATGGTATGAATGCAATGATAATACATCAACCCTTTTCCAATCCTCCACTTCACTCTGATATATAAATATAAATATAAATTTCATTTATTTTACAAAAAATGCGAAACAAGGGGAGGAAACCAGAGTACCCGGAGAAACCCATGTGGCCGAGTAGGTGACCCCAAAATTTTCACGTCCGTGCCAGGAATTGAACTCCGGCTCCTATGTGAAAGGCGAGGATGTTACTGTCGCGCCATCCGACCACCCACTCTGGTATATTTAAAGACTGTGATGACTGGAAGACTTACCCGATTCCCGAGCCGAGTTCTACAACATCAAGACCTTGTAAGGTAGGGAGATACGACAATATTTCTGATGTGTCTTCCTCATGCAGCAACGGTGCTTTTGAATTTAACATCATTCCTTGGTAAGAGGCATCTTGTTGCTCCCAAGTCTTTCGCAACACTGAACGTTTACCTAAAAACAAAGAATGAACATAAAACATAGTGAAAACATGTTTTATAGAATTTGTTTTACTTAACTCTGATTTCATGTACCGCAGTGTACTTAATACATTTCATTGTTGATGAAATAACAAAATTCAAAATAAAATGTGTGGGGATAAATCATGACAGATAAACAAAAGAAAAACCAAAGTAATGACTGAAAGTACGAATCCTGTATCTGTATATCATAAGTAAGTGGGAGATAAGCATTTTAGTTTCGATCCTTAAAATAATACCTTCAAATTTGACAAGCTGGGTTGATATAACTAAAACTGCGATCAGAAACAAAGGAATTTTTAGGATATTGTTTACAATTTTTGAAACCTTTTAGATGGAATGGTCGTTTATTCGTGTTAATCATTATATCATTCAAGAATCTGTATTTTTTTACAACAAAATTCCAAAGAAAGAAGACCTAGCTTAATATATAATACTCCTGATATGTTGCAAAAAACCCATAAATTTCTGTATTCATAAAACAACTTAAAAACAAAAGTCATCAACTTACCATTATCCATTTTGAGAAAACACGAAGGCTTTCTATGCAGTATATATATAAGTTGATTTTAAATCTGATCAATATCTATTTGACGGCCGTCTTATAAATAACAGTGTAAAGTCCTACAGTTAGTATATATATAGTCGCGTGTTGTCACATGTGTTTCAATGTCATCCAATGTCAATTTTGTTTCAAGTTGCATTAGCATATAAGGCAAAAATATAATTGCATATGACACATAGAATCAGCATATGGTGTCAGAGAACAGACACTCTAACTTAAAAAAAATCAATATTACAACTTAATGATATATCAAAAATATAGTATAGTAAAATATGATATAGCAGCGATGAATCGCGGTATGGACACCTGTTATCAAAACAAGTTCTATATGTAACGGGGAACGTTACAAAACATATGTATGTGCATCCTCTTTCGTAATGGAACTAAATAACATTTCATAAAAAGTTTCAAGCAATCAGAGGCCAAGAAATGACGGTCAATTTCATGAGTAGGTAAAAAAGAAATCGTTGCAGTAGATATGCATACGCACAAATTTAAACAAAATGGGTAATACTGAAATTTTAGTCAATATCAGGCAAGGGCAGGGTGGCAATCTTTTTAAAATCAATAAATCAAATTTCATCATCTCCAAACAACGAACCATTAGAAGCCAGAAAATGACGGTTAGTTTGTTGAATAATATACTGAAGTTTCTGTAGTGTTCGTAGAACCTAAATATAGAAACATGGTCATTTTTCATTCAAATCGGACATGTAAATTATGACCAAGCAGAAGCCAGTAATTGCCGGCCATTTTGTTGAATAAGGAAACCGCAGTTGTGGCAATGTCCGTAGTCATAATACAACTTTTTGTCTAATTTCATCGACATCAAAAATGGAGGAGATGTCAAGGTCATGCTGGACCTCGGTAATCCTTTGTCTGGAGATGCGACAAAAAAAGTGAATTTTCTACATATTCTTATAACTTTTTCATTCATCTTTTTGGATGGCGTCCGATATAAGTGGATATTTGATCAGTTTGTAACATCTGACGTTTGAAATTCACAATGGAAATGTGTAATTTGGCATCTGGAGTTAGGACAATGGCCTAAGACCCCACATAGTGACTACTGTTAATGGCGTACTAGATACTGTACCTATACCTACCTGGATTACTGTATCTGTGATATATATGGATACTATGTTTTAAGGAAATCATGGCCGGTAAAAAACAAAGCTCGAGAGGCTCAGCAGTTAAGACTAGGGGGTCTGACAAGAATATCGAGGACAGTCTTGATGAGATCTCGGCCGTACTATCTACCCTCATTACAAAAAGTGACTTTTACTCCAAGATAAAGAACTCAAGGAAAGCAACAGAGAGGAAAACAGGTAGTTAGTGGATGAATTGAGAGGTAGAGTTTTCGAATTGGAAATGGAAAACGAAAATCTTTGTCAGACAATTGGTAACTTGAAAACACAAGTCAGTGGTTTACAGTGTGTAAAGGAGGATATGGATGCACGTTATAACGACTTGAACAACTCGGTCGACAGAATTCACTCCGAATCTATGGTATCAAGGACAATTCTGCATCGGAGTCGCTTGAGGAATGTGTAGACAAAATCGTGAATTTTGTGTCTTCAAAACTTGATGTTCGGATTACTAGTGGTTATATTGACATCGCTCACCATCTTGGAAAATTCGCTAGAGATAGACCCCGGAACGTCATCGTCAAATTTACTCTTAGACGGAAAAGAAATGAAATAAATCCGGATGTAGTTAAAGAAGACTGGTTACACCATCTTCGAAGATCTCACCAAGATCAACCAGCAGATCCTAAAGGACACCTACAAACTTCAGTGTTTAAAAACACTCGTATAGCGTGGACGGCAAGCTCTTTGCAATTATGAATGATGGAAGAAAAAGAAGACTTTTTATGCATGCCTCTCGCGGACACCTTTCTTTCGCGGACACCTTTCTTAAGAAGGATTCCAATTTCTTATAATTGTATATATGTATGTGTGACAGATAGCAATATCGGTGACGATCTTGGCACGCAGATGCCACCAGGAATTTTACGATATTCTTACTGAAACGGTTGAAGACTTTGCGATTAAAAAATCATTTTCTGTGGTGATTTATCTTGGTCCTGAGGACATCCTTTAGAAAGCGATTCAGGTTATGGAAGAACAAGATGAAGCAAACATAAGTGAGTTAGAAGCTAAAAAGTCAATCAGGGAAAAGAAAATCAAAGGCAGCATAATTAGATCACGTGCGAAGTGGGGGGTTGGGAATGGTCTAATCTCTTGGGTCAAAACATTAGATAACAAAGCCAGTGCTATAATTAATCAGGGTGGTAATCTGTCTTCTTTTTTTAAATAAAAAGGGATTTTCGATAAGGGGACCCGATCATCCCCTATATCTATATTCTGTGACGACAGTTTGGCAATTGAACTAAGAAACAATGAGAAAATTAAGGGTATCGGTGTCGATGTCTCCCCTATACTTCTGTCACAGTATGCAGATGACACTTCACTGGCACTTGATGGGTCAGAAAGGTCACTGAAGGAATCAATAACAGAACCTAACTTTTATGCACGAATATCAGGATTAAAAATTAATATTTCAAAAACTCAAGTGCTGTGGATTGGCAGCAAAAACTTCAGCATAGACCTATTCATTCCTGAACTTAATTTACAATGTGGTAGGGATCATTTCACACTTCTTGGTATTGAATTTCATGTAAACTAACCTCACATACCAAAACTGAACTTTGACCAAAAAATACTTGCAAAACTTAAATCACTTATTAGTACCTGGAAAAGACAATTATTAACCACTATTGGTAAAATAAACATAATTAAATCACTTTTGGTTTCACAACTTAACCATCTATTTATCTCGCTGCCAAACCCTGATGTCAAGTTTCTCTCTAAATTAAACTCATTGCTATATGAATTTAATTGGAGCAGTAAAACTGACAACGTAAAAGAAGATGTTATCCAGGATTACATTGATGGAGGTTTAAAATGGTTAATGTAAGAACCTTTATATATTCTTTTATGATTGGGTGGATTAGAAGACTTTTCCAGTCTACTTCAAAGTGGCAAGTAATTCTAAAGACCTGATGGCCAATTGTGGTACTGAATACATACAACGCTGACAAAATAAATGTGCAAACAAGTTTTGGTATGTTGTTTTTAAAGCATATGAAAATCTAACAACAATTAAACAATCAAATAACTATTGATAAGAAATCTTTTTTTTATTAAGGACTGGCTAGGAAAGTGTGTCATTGTTGTGAATGATCTGATAAAAGATATTAATTCTGGAACATTCTAAATGCTGTAAGGCATTTTAACCCTGATCCAGATTTTCCTTAGATAAAATTAGAATATCCTTTTATCCCCTTAAACTTGGAACATTTCTTTAAACAGCGTAAAGGTTCGAAATATTTTCATAGTATTTTAATAAAGAGCAATGTTATTCCATCAGGTCAGAAAAAATGGAATGAAGTCTTTGATTTTAGTGAATTTATATGGCACCAAATTTTTAAGCTACCCTTTCTGATAACGACAAATATAAAGTTCCAAAAATTCCAGGTTAGAAGTAATCACCACATTCTTACAACTAATTATTTTCTTTTTAAAACTCGATTAGCTATATCTCCTCTGTGTATACTATGCAACTCTGAGATTGAAACTATAACTCACATTTTATGGGAATGCAAAGAGGTTCAAAATCTTCTTAGTAGCTTTGAAGTTCTGTTAGATGCACTTATCATCCCATTTAACTTTAATAAAAGTATCCTGCTTATTTGGTTTCTTAATACAAAAATATAAATAGTAAAATTGAAAAATTAAAATGAATTATCAAATTGATCGTTTCCTGGTGATGAATCCCATACCATGCGATATTTCAGATAGCACATATGTGATATCTAAAATATCGCATGGTTCTCTCCGATTGGTCCACACCTCATTATGGAGGTGGTGCCTATTTCCAAGTGGGCGAGACAGATCAACAAAGACATAGGAAAGATTTCGAACAAATCTTTAAAACATAAAAAAATATATATATATAAAAACAAGAGAGATTTTGTTAAATCGATATGCGTCGCTTTGACTTTAGTTAATACATTCAAACAGTTCTGTAAAAAAAAATAAAAGTACAACGCATTACTTACTCGAGAACAGAGATCAGCACATGAACACTGTATAGCCCTACATTGAATAAATTCATGCTTGTCGACGGCCTATGATAATATTTTATCATCGAGATCGCCGAAAACACCGGCGTCGATGTTTCTTAAGTCTTTTCTATACGTTGTCCAGCTCCGACATCTCTGACATCTACTAATGAAATGAATTATTACTGTGACAGAAAATGGGATGGGTAAGAAAATAGCGGGAAAATCATCGACTTGACACTTGACACTAATTGGCTACTAATAGGTTCTAGCTCCGCCCCTTGGCACGTGGATGAGAAAACCTCGGTGGTCATTGGATAAAACAGATACATAACTGACACTCGTAATGTATCCTTCGGACTCGTGTGATATATCCGATACATTACTCGTGGCCATTATGTATCTTTTACATAAACAGGTAGAAGTACGAATATATGAATCCAAAAATGTAATGTGAAACGCGTGCATACGCACCCATTCTCATATACATAACTCAGTGAAATCGATGCTTACATTAATACAAATATTGTACTGATATTTATATCTTTACGAAAAACATGTCCCGTCAACATTACGTTTAAATAAAACGCAATAAATACGTACTCTTGAACATTTTATATTGATATAACATCGATAGCACTGATGTTGGTTACGGAAAGGTGAATGCCGCATAAGTTTAAACGCACAGCACCCTAAGAGCGTTAACCGTAAGATAAAACAAATTAAAACTGGTACTTATACATTGTTTATGTACATGTATATCAGTAAATGTATTTTAGATCATCAACAAAGGTATCAATGACAAACTTGTTTTTATCAATCAACATCGA